CGGAGCAGGAGGAGGAGGAGGAAGTGGAGGAGGAGAGGAGGAAGAGCAGGAGGAGAGGAGGAAGGGGAGGAGGAGGAGAAGGAGGGGAGGAGAAGAGAGAGCAGGAGGAGGAGAAGGAAGGAAGAGAGGAGGAGAAGAGGAGCGAGAGGAGGCGGAGGGAGGAGAGGAGGAGGGGGAGGAGAGGAGGAGAAGCGGAGGAGCGAGGAAGGAAGGAGAGGAGGAGGAAGGAGGAAGGGGAGGAGAAGGAGAGGAGAAGAAGAGGAGGAGGAGGAAAAGAGCAGGAGGAGGAGGAGGAGGAAGAGGAAGGAGGAGGAGGAGAGGGAGAGGAAGAGGAGGAGGAGGGGGAGGAGGAAGAGGAGGGGGAGGAAGAGGAAGAGGAGGAGGGGGAGGGGGGAGAGACATCACATAAAGAGTGATGAAATACCCCACACATTCGCAGTTGAAATTATCGCTTTATTTTAATTTCATTTTATTTCGTGCTGCGCGCCCATCATCATTAACATTAATCATATAGCCCGCAGTGTCGCCAACTAGTCACCATTATCATTAAGCATTAATCATATAAGCCCGCAGTGTGCCAAACTAGTCACCATTATCACTTACATTAAACATATTAGGCCCGCAGTGTCGGCCAAACTAGTCACCATCATGCAGTTAACATTAAACACTATAGCCCGCAGTGTCGCTAAACTAGTCTACATCGTAAAATAGCATACTCATCACAACTTGCTGAATGACTCGTAACTAGACGACAGGCGGCCTATCGCGTATTGCTTCCGGCAATTTCCTCACATTTCCCTTAATTCCCGTTACATCCCTCACATTCCCGTCGATGTCACAGCATGTCGCCTCACATCCGTATCATGTCACACATTCCCTCCATTTCCCGCAACAATGTCACTACATTCGCCTACATTTTCCGCACGACGTCTACACTTTTCCTCACATTTCCTACATGTCCACACATTTCCAGTCACGATTCCCATACATGTCACACATTCCCTCACGATTCCCATACTGGTCCACATTCCCGTCACATTTCCATACATGTCACACATTCCCTCACAATTCCGTATACATGTCAGCACATTCCTTTACATTCCCGACATGTCACACTTTCCATCACATTCCCCTACATGTCACACATTCCCTCACATTCCGATACATTCACACATTCCCTCACATTTCCGCAACATGGTCACGACGCGAAACTGTCGCAAGTACGTCCTCGCCGCCTCCTTCTACGCGCGCGTATTAATTATAGATATATATATATATATATATACTATATATATATAGAGAGAGACGGAGAGGAGAGATGATCTCGATGGATATATTAATATAGATATCATAGCATATATATATAAAATAGGTATATATATATTTAGTATATATATATTATATATATATATATATAATATATATATAGTATAGTATATAAGCGAGAGCTAGAGAGGAGAGACAGAGAGATGAGAGAGAGAGAGTAGAGAGAGAGAGAGGAGAGGAGCTAGAGAGAGAGAGAAATCGACGAGAACGAGAGAGAGAGACGAGAGAGAGAGAGAGCGAGAGAGAGAGAAGAGATGACAGACGAGAGAAGATGAGAGGAGCAGAGAGACGATCGTCTCTGCGCTTTCACTGAGTCGGTCATATGCGCTTTCTCGCTGCTACTGTCGCGTTGTTTTTCGTCTGTGCCACAGGGAGACGCGCACGCTGCTCGACAGATTGATGCGCCCGGAGATTTCTTGGCAGATCGCGCATTCTGAATCTGGACTGCTGGACCTGAGACAGGTAGGCGGCCGCTCGCGAGAAACGCGAAAGTCGCGTCGAGTGATCTCACATGTGAACGACGTATCTTCGCGCACCCTTTTGTTCCGCCGACGGACGTTTGGCGAAACGCTTTGCGAGCTTTCTGTCTGAACTGGCCTGAGCGAATTTGTCTACCACAATGCGCCTCTGCATTAGAGCAAGTTGTCTAACCACCGGCAATATCCCCAATGTTAAACGCGGGCCCGGTTAAATTGACATTGCTTGAGATCATGATCAGTTCGTAGGCAGAATGACCGCATATGCTCGGCGAAAGCGTAATATATTACACGCACACACGACCAAGCACACGCATCACGCACGCACACACTAGCACACAGCACCACACACACACACAGCCACCACACACGACACACACACACACACGCACTTAGCACACACACGACCACACTGCACACACACACACACACACACACACACACACACACACACACACACACACACACACACGGACACACACACGACACACACATGGAATTCCGCATACGCTCTATAAATAACACAGCGGAAGAACATGTACATGTGAGGTTGAGCCTAAGAACTTATGTACGCTCTGCCGGTTTACAGGAACGCCATTTTTGTGCTATAATGAGCTCACTCTTACGCTTTCTAGCAGCTGGTAAATAAATTGCCGAAGCGTGAATGTGAAGGCCGCTGACCCACCTACGCCTTCGTATAGCAGTACATGCGATATCACTCGCCTATGAGGTCCGCTTGTAGCCCAAACGCGCAAGCGCCCCTATATCTTCGTATGTACTGACTAACCACCAATGAACGTACGTAATTAGTGGAGTAGTAGGTTATAGGAGTTATGTGAAGTTAGTTAGCATTAGAGTCTGCTATAGTTTATTTGCCTCAAATCAGTCAAAGCTAACTCAGTTATGATATAATTGTAATAGAAAAAGCATAGTACTGAAGCATATGTTCTACACGCGTGTTTTTAGAAGCTAGAAGTAATAGCGGTAATGAGTTTTATTGGTGAATAGCAGGCGCAGCGTCTGTGATTTTCCGGGGAGCTGCGTATTTAATAATATTAATCGGGTATTTAAGAGACCTAGCACGGCGTGTTGGATGTTTGTTAGCTGGCAAATTATATTTCTTGAGCATTACTAGTCATCTAACAATAGGCTCGTTAATCGATAGCACTCCAGACAATGTCTAGATGAGAGCAGACAGTTAACCTGGCTGAGGTCACGGGGTAGCATGGCGTGTACATTAATGCCGATCCTGGTCTGTGCTTCGTAGTACACAGTACACAGTACACAGTACATAGTACACAGTATATGGAACACTATACACGGTACAGGGTGCACAATACATAGTAAATACTACACGGAACACGGCACATTGTACACAGTACAACAGGACTAAAGGAAATATGACTATTGCGCTGAACGCACTGTTGATACACAGCATATTGTACACAGTACAACAGGACTAAAGGAAATACAACTATTGCCCGCTGATTGCAATGTTGATACACAGCATAAATAGGCACTAATAGGCACTAGGCAGCATAGGCAGCATAGGCAGCATAGGCACTAATAGTACACAGTACAACAGGACTAAAGGAAATACAACTATGAACGTATACTGAGCTATTTATTGTCTGGTTATCTCTGCATGCGCTCTTCCCGCTAGCTTGACAATGCTGATCGATCCAGCCGCGCAATATAGCAGCCATGCCCCGTCTAATGCTAGATATATATATATCTATATATATCAGGAGTGTATAATGACAAATTATGTCAATGACAATGATGTCATTATTAGCTCCTGATATATATATATATATACGTAGGCGTCTGCCAGCATGCCAGCGGCCGTGCTCAGCATGCCGCTCTGCTATAGATTGTAGGAAGATTGATTGATATTTAGGATATTTAGGATATTTAGGATATTTATTATAGAATAGATTGTAGGAAGAAGGAAGGCCTATGAAAACACGACTGGCCGTTTATAGTTACTGCCTCGTCCGCTGTCCTGTGATTCGATTTGCGCGCGAGTGTGAAGTGCGGCAATGATCATTGTAGCTGTAGAAGAGAGTCTCCTTTAGGTTTCCGATTATCTTCTCTCGCAGTCAAGTACGTATACAGGCACTCGTGCAAGTACGCACGCTCAACGTGCATGCACGCGAGGACATACATATGCGCGAACTGGCGCACGTTCACACACACGCACGAACGCACGCACGCATGCCCCACTCTCCTCTCTATCTATCTATCGTTGTCTGTAGCTCATTGCCCGTTTCCATCGGTTCCCTGAGATCTAGTTAAAGTGATTATTGACCGTCCCATTGGGCGGATGGGAAAGAATTATAGTCTTACTGCTTCTGCTAATCTTACAATCAGCTGAGGCACAAGTGCGCACGCACAATAAATTCCTATCGATACTCTCTTATACACACTTGCGCGCACGCACGCACGCACGCACGCACGCACGCACGCCCCACACATATACATATATACAGGAGTAAATAACAATAGATGATCTAGGAAATGATAGGAATAGAGAATCTATTATTATTCACTCCTGATATACATATATATATATATATATATATATATATAAATATATATATATATATATATAAATATAAGTACTCTCAAAAGATAACATATTCTTAAATACATAGCTGATAGCAACTTGTTCAGATGTTTGAGAACACAATCTTCGGGGCATTTGCATAACGTTGTGTCCGGTCAAAAACGAAAACGCGTACGTCGTTCGTGCTGGGTTTTCTCAAAGACGACAAAGTAGAATCGATGATTAGTAATACAACCAGGAATGAGGAACACTGTCAATAATTTTATGCGTTTTTTAAAAGGAATAACATACTATTTTTTATAGCCAGATAAGATTAAGATAACCTCCACAATATAACCCATATTAATTTTTATATATTTAACTGTTCTCCAGCATTGCAAAATCTGTACACGAAATGCTCTACGGTCGTTTATGATAAAGAAGAAAAATTGCATAGACAAATGCACACAAAATCAACACGTTTACCTATATATACGTGATGATAGAATTGTTCCGAAAATTGAAGAAAATTAATGAAAAACATCGATCAACATATAAGTAAGAGTATGTACAAATTTGTTCAAACGCTCTCCAGATATAATCGATGCTTCGATTATGTGCTATATGTACACTCGTTTCGTCTCTTACAGAGGAAGCGTCAATGGCGGTGGAGACATCCACTCTCTCGGTCTGCTGCCGGACAAACTCAAGACGGAGCTTGCACTACATGTTAACCTCAGCACGCTGAAGAAGGTCCGGTGAACGTTCTCTCCTATGCTAATTCGTGCCTATTCGTTACCATGGTAACATAACATGTGTGTCTAATCTGTGTCGGCGGCCTAAAGTCATTAAAACGCATAATAAATTGCGCAGAAAATAAGTAGATTTTTTCCGCGAGGGAGCTGGATGGACGGACGGGCTTCGGCTGAGATTTAATGAAAAGAATTTACATGCAGAAAATCAGTGCGGCGTGTTCCCGGGCGCGGTAATAATTATATGCATGGATATTAGTTTAGTTTAATTAGAGTATTATCTATAATAGTGCACGCCCACATGCACACGCATCATTATGATGAGAACGATTCAATATTAATACAGTGTTACACACCAATCCATAATATCAGCAGTATAGATAGTAGATAATATTAATAGTTTCCCTATTATCTACTTCTGATATTATCAGAAGTAAATAAACGTTTCACTCCTGATATTATATATATATATATATATATATAGATATATATATATAACACCTACGTAACCTACGTAAACCACAGCACTTGTACTGGGCGTATGTAAATTTTAGAGAGAGAGAGAGAGAGAGAGAGAGAGAGAGAGAGAGAGAGAGAGGAGAGAGATAGGGATTCCGCCGTCCCACGGTTAACAAAGCTACCGCATACCTACACCTTTGTGCGCACGCACGCACGCACGCACGCACGCACGCACGCACGCACGTATGAACAGAAGAACGGAGGAACAAGGAAATGAATGAACGACCGAACGCACGCACGCACGCACGCACGCACTCATGCACGCACGCACGCACGCACGCACGCATGAACAGAAGAACAAAAGAAAGAGGGAACGAATGAACGACCGAACGCACGCACTCACGTTATATGCGTGACTGTACGGAGGGACAACCGGACTGACCGACAGACCGATCGTGGGATAGACGGACTGACAGACAAATAGATAGATAGACATGTCGCAGCAAAAGACAGATAGATTGTTGTAAAAATCACGCAAATTATTTCCTGGTTTGCAGTCGATAATCAAAGAGTACGGTCGCATACGATTGATAGAAGCCAAGAAGCACAACATTCCGACCCCTACCGTTGTGGTCACTACTCTGGACGTGGTCAAAGATACTAGCCAGTCGTGCAGCTCGTCGTCGGCAGATGGCGCAACGAACGCAACCCAGAATGTTCAACCCTCCAACGCAGAGTCGGAGAGAGAGGGAGCCGCAGAAGTAGTGTGTGAGTCCACCAACAGGTATATTAGTGTCTTAATTCTACTGACAGACGCTCGTGCATCGAATTCAGTCTATAAGGAAGATCCAATATTCAAGAAATTTATTTGCAGTGAATGCATAATATGCACAGCGTACGGATATATGCATATATGAAGATTGTCAGATATAGGAATCTGTCAAGAGTACCTCATTTGCAAACGAAGCGCGGGAGTACCCACCCCGCTATCTCGCATGTCATCCAAGTCTGCCCCATTAAAAGATTAATCATCTATCAGACAGCTCAATCGTATGTTTACTATTGCTATGAACTGTAACAGAGCATAACTAAACTAGACGAAATAGGTCCAATTCAATCCAGCAGCCATGACACTAACAATAACGTGCAAATGACGAGATTTGAATATTTGCATTTAGCTTCTACCCAAAGGAAACGTTTCTCTCTGATTTTTCTTAGGCGTAACTTTCTCGACATCGTCCTGTCCTTAATATCTAAACCTTCCCAGAAATCAGGCAGACTCGTCTTCTACGACTAATCCTCGCGAGGACTCCTGGGAAGAGGTGACGTCACCTGCACCGCTGGCGAGCGTTGATGAAGAACACGAAGAATCGCCGAAAGATGTCGCTAGCGAAATCATCGAGTATACAGTCAAGGCCGTACACCAAAAGTTGGTGAGTTTACGTAAGAAGTTGGTGAGTTTTACGTGAGAAGTTGGTGAGTTTACTTGAAAAGTTGGTGAGTTTTACGTGAGAAGTTGGTGAGTTTTACGTGGGAAGTTGGTGAGTTTACTTGAGAAGTTGGCGAGTTTTTCCTGAGAAGTTGGTGAGTTTACGTGAGTAGTTGGTGAGTTTTACTTGAGAAGTTGGTAAGTTTACTTGAGAAGTCTGTGAGTTTACTTGAGAAGTTGGTGATTTTAGTTGAGTAGTTGGGTAGTTTTTGCTTGAGAAGTTGGTGAGTTTTATGTAAGAAGTTAGGGAGTTTACTTAGGAAATTCGTGGATTTACGTAAAAAGTTGGCGAGTTCACTTGAACAAGTGTCGCATTATTTTCCGTGGTCACACGAGCGGCTATATATGGCCACTCTATTGTTTCATCCATAACTATATCATATTGTATGTCCATATCATCCATATTGTATTTCCAATGTCAGCACTCACTGTACAGTGCTGCCACACACAGAAAAACCTATGACTATTTCTTGCCCTCACCTCATGATCTTATCAGCTGCTGCTATTGTGAAACCGAAACCGAAACCAATACTAAAACAGAGCATAACCAGGACCAGTTCAGAGGTACTACTCACTCTGAGTTCACAGTTTCAGTTCAGATGCTACGATCTCAGAATGCATTGTACCATTCCAAAGCTATGCATTTTCTGATTCAATAGAAAAATTCCTTAATTTCAATGTGCATGGTTGCGCGCCAAGCATTCACTAAACAATATCCAGTGGACACAGACCCCACTCGCTGGCCTGTCTCTATCTATACTATATATAGAATGTCTTTTATTCGTGGTATTACATGCTGTTATATAATAATAACTTTTTGTCATTTACACCAACCCATTCGTACATGAGTATTGCGTTTAGTTCACAATCGCACTACACTTGCCCCGACATTTCGATTTTGTCTATCGACGATAACTCGGTGCGTTATCGTCGCTTCCTTCGGCTGCCGAAGCCAGCAGACTGCACTCTTCTTTGTAAAGCATGCGTCTGTGAATTACCATAAATGCAGGATCTTTCGGTTTATAGATGCGTCTGCGATACAATGGCTGTCCGCCGAGCTTCCTGTTGTCTGATTCGCCCGTCTTTACACGCGCATATGTTTCAACGCGTATCGTAGTGACAAAAGTATTTATTTTTTTTTATCTTCATCATTGCGGAAAATTTGACATTGTGGAAAGCACTTTATATAGACACGTATCGGCGAAGGTACGATGTCAAATGGGATTTTTACGTGGTTGTTATGAAGCGTCATGTGAATATGTGACACTTCAGCACACGGATTAACTGTTCAACCAGTACTGAGTTCTATCTGTCTGTGCTCTGTGAGTTCTGTTTGGTCGATGCCGCCCTCGAGCTCTCTAACGCATCGAACTCCGCCAAACGAGTTTAATGAAAGGATTTGGTGCATTGAGCGCTGATGCGTCTCTTCTGAATTTCGAATAGGCTTTTTGTTCGTTCTCTCGCTCACCCGTAGGCTGTTATAAGGCACAACACGACTTTTAGACGCCCGCTTCTATTTTTCACATTTTAAATGATAACGATGGCGATACAGGTACTCGGCTGTGTCGTCTCATCACCAATAATAGAATTCTAGACGGCTCGAGGGGTTCGAAGGAGAAAATCGTATAATAAAGGACAAATACTGATAGAATTTCAAATCCGGCATGAATACAGATACCTTGCCCAAGGACGAATGTGAGTGGTGAGTATGGGAGTCAACGGGCTGGATAGCAAGAGGCAACATGCGTTTCAAATAAGTGGAAATCTGAGGATAGAATAGAGGGATAGGAAGGACCAGATCGATCAAGTCATGCGCGAGAAAGAGCGAGAAAGAGAAACAGAGAGAGAGAGAGAAGAGAAGATGAGTAAAGATCGAGAGGAAGAGAGAGAGAGTCTGCGCGCCAGAGAGAAGGAAAGGTAGATAGAAGAGAGAGAGAAGAGAGAGAAGAGAGAGAGAGGAGAGAGAGAGGAAAGCCATATTTAAACAGAGAGAGGGAGAGAGAGAGAGAGGAGAGAGAGAAGAGAGAGAGATCTTTTAGAGAGGAGAGAGAGAGAGAGAGAGAGAGAGAGAGAGAAGGAGCGAGCGAAAGAGTCAGGGTGGGGGCGACCTAAAAGGATAGCGAAGAAGGATAGACAGGCGGAGCGTACAAAACGTGAGAGTATAATGAGAAGAGAAAGAGAGAGGGGGCGAAAGGCGGAGAGAACGAAGTAAACGCATAAGAAAGAAAAGGGAGGAGAACAATAAAGATTTGCTGTTAGCGAGGATGTAACCAAATCGCTGCCTGAAACAATGAGTTCATTGTGAATCAAGACAAAAACAAGCTTTATCAGCTCGTTTTTCTAAATTAAAGTTTCGTGTTTACGTATTTTTACACTGCGGTGATGCCGCTAATGCTGTTAATATAGATAATTTAGATCACGCTAAACGTGGGCATTGAACAAAGAATACAGGCAGGCAGTTCTCGACTTCACGTCTCTAGAGATAAAGTTCTGGACTTCGTGTGTCTGAACACTAGCATCGCATTTATGCATTAGTCTCACCGTAAATTGAAATTACTGTGGACGCACTACCGGCGGGTGTATCGGCTGATTTTTCCGAGATGGCGGCGACACGGACACCGAAGCAGTGGTGTTTGAGTAAAATTGAAACTGTGAACTCTTTCGAGAATTGGAGACAGAACTTGCCAGATACATTATCGTTGGACGCAAATTTTGCCCAATTTCTCGGCGATGGCGTCCATTGGGAGAAAAATACACGTAATGCTCCACTCCAGTGGGTTTGTGGACGACGATGAAGACGTATCGGGGGCTCACCGACGTACAGCACACCAAAAAGTAAGCGTGCTTGAATTGATGCTGGGACAAGTGGCCAATTACTGCCCGGTTATATCTCGCAATACTATTGTGAAGAACTCTACTTCCATTGAAAACATATGGCAGACGATCCGTTTACATTTTGGATTCCAGTCAACAGACGCCCATTTTATTGACTTTGATTCTATCAAGCTAGAGCCAAACGAAAGACCAGAAGATTTGTATGAGAGACTTATGGC